TGAAGGGTAAAAGAAGTTTTACGTAAAATTAGGAAATTTTCTAAACTGTGACTGCTTCATGGTCTTGCTTAAGCCTGTTGGTTATCAAGGTCTTGGAGGAAAGTAAAAGCGAGAAAAGAAAGCAGGCAGAGTCCCAGATGGAGAGCTACCTGAGGTCCTGGAGTTGACGGGAAACCTAGAACCAGTCGTTACTTCAGGACTATTAGCCCCTTTTTCTTCCATTACCACAGCCCAGTGTGGGAGGTCTGGAGAAGGATCTCCTAGTACCACCAGGGGGCAGCACCCACCCACCCACCGTAGGCTGTCATGGCAGGCTGGGCATGGGGGCTCTTTCCTTCCTGGGTTCTGAGCTTTGAGGAAATAGCATGACCTCATACCTACAGAATTGACAGAGACAAGTCCCTATGATGTTAACTGCAGCATACTGAATCTTCCAGGAAATCCCAGAGGGGCTCAGGTAACGGACTAGCCCAGAGCTCTAGGACAAAATCCTTTACAAGCAGTGAGGACTTGTCTGGAGAACTCTGGCCTGAGGCTGAGTTTCCCTCTCCAGGAGCTGGTCAGCGTGCTGAGTCAGGGGTACTCCCACCACTGCACCTTCACCTCGCTGCCTCTCCCAGCTTTCTGACCTCCCCTCCTGGCCACCTTTGTCCTGGCAGCTTTCTCCCTCCACCCATCTCCCCACATGTTTATCACCATCTACAGATGCTGCAGAGTGGAAGCACCAAGAGGCAGAGATTTACCAGGGAGAGGTTGGAGGGGCTCTGTTTCATTCACTGATTTCCAGTGCCTGGAACAGCTTCTGGCCCAGAGTAGGCACTCAAGAAATATTTGCTAAATGAACAAATGACTTAGCAATGGGATGCTGAGATGGTTTTTTTCATCTCTCTCACCCCACCCCATCAGCATCTCCCTCGTTTTGGAATGACTGAGTTCAGCCAGCCTGAAGAATAGAAACTGGGGGAGAGACCTCAAGGGAGTTCACTGGGACACAACCAGATAGGGCTTTAAAACTATTCATTACAGTCAGTTTTTTAATATCCTCGCTGTGTGTCTTCCTTCCTCACTCCAGCTGCTGGGCAGTCCTAGGTCTTCTCTTTCCAGTCACGTTTAGGAGATTTCTTTTTCGCTGCAGCAAAATTGAAGGCCAGTTAAATGCAGACATCAAGTCCAAGGGGTAGAGCGGCTGGACACAAAATAGGTATCAGCAAATGTATGTTTCTGGCTACAGTCCAGGATGCTATCCACCTCTTCTGCATGTTAATACAGGCCAGAGATCATCGTCATGTCATTTTGGTGTTCTAACCTCATCAATGATGAGACTTTTGCTTATAAGAATCCCTCGAATTCGCAATAACCTTTCCTTGGAGCACCCCTGGGCCCCTTTCTTATTTCTCCCAGTAGAGTCAAGTAATGCCTGATCTGGAAATCAGATGGTGCACAGGTGTCCAGGGCAGGTGTGTCAATCACCTTGTATTTCTGCTTTAAAATCCTTCTTATGTGATCCAGATGGACATGGAAGCTGCCTAAAACTGTTAAAAGAAAGAAAGAAAAAGGAAAAAAAAGGATTAATCCAAAATGTAGAAAAAGTCTGGACATAAAAACAAATGAATCTGGACGTTGCCCTTGGGATGAGGCCAGTCAACCCAGGCTGGTGCCTAATGTTTTGTACTGGGCAGCTTCTCAATCACTCAGCAAACAGGTTCTCAGAGGCAGGCACTGTGGGAGCCATCAAGATGAAAAAGCAGTGTGGTCTGGAAGAGCTCAGGGTCAGAGAGGGGAGATAAGACATAAAAAGGGCAAAGTCAACTTGCAACGAGTGAAACAACGGTAGAACCAGGAGGGAGTCACAAGGTGGGACACTTCCTATATGTCCCCAGGACAACGATGAGCCACGGCTTTAACCTTTCGGGGCCACCTGCCCCACACCCCTAACAGGGCCAGGGCTACGGTTTCGTTCCACCCAGACCAGGAGCTGCTTCTCTGCCCAAGGCCACCGGGTCCCCTATTCCACCGCGGGGGTTTCAGTGACTGTGACAGAGGCTGCAAGCATCAAGTTCACAGGGATCTTGGGCCTGCTGGGGGCTAAGTGGTCAGGAGGCCCCAACACAGTGTCTGGGTCAGGAGTGGGCAGCCTCATCCTAGCGAAACCATCTCTCCACTCTTTCTTCCCCGGCCTCCAGTTAGCCGCAAATAGCAACAACGCGATCAGCTTGGTGGGGAGGGGCCAAAGGGAGCAGCCAGAAGAAGGCGACAGAGGTTAGAGGTCAGGGGTC